GCAATTCCATTGAAATAAAGGTGGAGTGGCATTGATCAGTCAGATCCAAATTTGATAACTCTACTCTCTTTGGGAATCCTTAATGAAAGAAGAGTACTTGTGTACACGTGTGAGAGGAGGAGAGACGGTTCCTGTGGGATGCTGCACAATGGAAAAGTGCTAAATATATTAATTATTTATAGAACAATTAGTATTCAGCTTATCCCACAAGTTCGGATCTGAGTCTGGATCCAAACTGTCCCTAATGGGTGCATTTAGCCTTTTGGCTCAAGCCCTACCCTACTTGTAAGTAATGTCACTGACTTAGTCCAGCCACAGAATGATAACCATAGCCCTGCCCTTGTCTTGTTCATGTTTGTATTGTGTGAAGCTGGAGCTGATCCAGAGAAGAGCATCTAGGAAGAGATTCCAGACTGACTGTGGGGTGAGTGAGAACTAATTAAATTCATTGTCTGAATCAAATGCCTTAATAGAACATTAAATAATATTAAATAATCCTGAAACACTTTCATAAACATTAGAATTTATGAAAATTATTCAAAAAAAGCAGTGTTCAGTTATTTGCTGCTACAAATTAGTTTGAAATTTCTTTGATAATACAAATCCCACTCATGTTGGCAAAATTGTTCAAATTCGTAAACTAACAGATCTGTTACAAATGTTCTTTTTGCAAGGTCTCTCAGCCTCTTCAACTGCTTCTATTCAGCACAGCCTAAATTTTCTAGCTTTTCAGGCATGGTACAGAAGGTAGCTGCTAAGAACACTTCTTAGCGTGGTAATGGACTCAAAGTGTGCTTTGGAAGTGACTTATAAGCAAAATTTCTGTCTGGGATTCATCTCCCCTAATTTTTAATCCTAAGGCATGCAAGCTTACTTCAAGTGCATTCTTCTCCGCATGGGTTGTAAAGGAAATTTGACTTAGCTGAGCTGGGATGCTCTCTTTTCAGATGGTTAAAGTGAGGTAAGATAAATCCTGCCATTTCAGTGCTGCAAAAGGACTGCTACAACAGACTGTCTTGTCACTCACAAGGTGAAAAGCTTCCAAGAACATGAACTCATTTGCAGGGAAATGGAACACTGAGATAAAACAAGGGCTTCTCACAGCACAAGTCACCCACAGCACAGAGCAGATGCCCATTGCTGGCTGAGCTGGTGTAACAGATCCTTTAATGTTGATATGTGCCTAAATCGGACAGGTCAGGAGACAGAATGGAAAAGGACATATAAAGACATCTTCACATGTGTTTAAGTGCTAGCAGGTTCACACAGTCATCTTACTTATTGGCTTCAAATTATGATAGTACTTCAGAAGGTTATCAGTGAATAAAAAAGCAATCTCAGACTGTGAAGGAAACTTTCATTCTTATCTGAACATTTCCCTGTTCACATATTTATTTACCATGAATAATTTACCAAAGTTAACAGCTCATCACGGACCTTTGATGTTTGCAAAGCCACAGCCCACAGTTACAGTCCAAAAAGAAAAATTAGAGTATACAGCTGCAAGGGTAAAATTGCAAAGTTATGTTTAAACTAAGAAAGGCATTTCTCTCACAATTACAGCATCAGCATACACTAATCCCAGTGGCACAATAATGCACCAGCCCCACAGCTACTGCTGACTCAATAACACCACAGAAATACAACAGCAAAAAGAGGCCTGATCCACCATTTTTAAGGAAGGGAACATGCATCCTTCCAGCCATTACGCTTTCTGCTATTTAATATGCCACATATTAAACTCTGTCCACTTCAAAAGCAGGAAAAAATGAGACATGCCCCTGCCCAGTGCCCTAACTGGTTATATACTAGAAGAAATAATGACAGTGATATGAACAGACATAGGGAAAGATCTAAATTAATTCTTGAAGTGCAACATAATGCAAATATATGCAAGTTGGCAAAAAAAAAAAAGGCAACAGGAATTTAGCCTCTGATTGTTCTGATTTATTTACAGTAGAGAGTTAAAGGGCAGATAGACCTCTTGATTCAACATTTGTGCTATGCACAGATATTGACTCTTGCCTGTTTTCAGACAAGTTGTCTCTGTTGTCTTTAGTAGTCCACCCACTACTGTGCCTTCCATCAGAAATCACCATCAAAATTATTCTTATAACTCCTTGATGACAGCATTCAGTTAAATAATACAGCAGCTCCCTGTCTTAGGAAAAGTATAATTGTGTATATTTCACATGTATGAAACCAGTAAACTATCTGATTCAACCTCATAAATGAATAACACTTTTTCTAGTGTCCCACTGAGTCAACTGGATTTTAGGGGTCCTCGACTAAGCTTAGTTTCTGTCTTTTAGTCATTATCCAGTACTGCCTGAATGGAATTAATGAACATTCTGTGATACTGTCAATAGAGAAACTTATTTCCAAGCTAGGAACAACTGTTTTTATGATAGCTTATTACAACAATTCCCTTTGCATAACGAATAGCTTGATCCAAATATTCATTTTGAATCACTAAATGATAGATAGCAGTAAGCAGCCTTAAGCAGCCTCCTAAATCTCTCCCTTCTCATTTCTTTCCATGCCTAAGTAAGTTTAGTGCTTTCAACATGTCTGTACAAATTGCTTCTATCTACAAGCTCCGCTAAACAAACCACGTCATCACCCAACGAGCAGCTCAGAGATACCAAAACATCTAAACCCAGAAGCGTGATGGCTGCTTCCCAAAGCTGGCCTGTAAACCTTCCTAGTACAGCTGTGTTGGGGTCAACACAATGAATTACAATAGATTTCTTTCTTTTTGCACTTCTTGAAGCAGTAGTAGTCCAGCATTCCTTAGTACTGCTTAGTCATCTGCTGTATCTGTTTTAGTCATTAACATAATCCCCATTTAATCCAAATTTTCTGTTGGTTAATAGTAGTATATTCAATAGGCCACTAAAGAAGTAGCCTCATACTTCTTTATTCCTTAGTCTGAGTTACTTTATTCCTTGTTCTGAGTTCGGGACACGATGTTTACACTCACATAAACTTTCTGCGTTTGTAGTAAGAAGTTTCCTAGGAGCCAAGCAAATAAAATTAGAAAGGATTCTCTGAAGATCAGTAACAACCACGGCAGCTCTTCTCTTACACCTCACACCATTCAGGATTCTCTGTAACTTTTGTTCAACTCTAAATGAATAGAATCAAAAATGTGGCTTCTCTCTTAATGATAAGAACCAGGCAGAGGGTTCTGGTGCAAAACTTGAAAACCCCAAACTGTGGAGGTATTTGGTTTCAAGGCCCAAAAAAAAAAAAAAGGAATCTTTTCCGCAGCTGAAGTTCAGGCAGAAGAGAAGTTAAGAAGACAGTTCACCTCAGTTCACTATAAATAGAGGCTTCTAAGCAAAGACCTATCAGTACAAAGCAAATTTGGACTGAAATGTACAAGATGTACAGAAGAAAGGACTGATTTAGCAGTAAGCCTGCAAAGAGGAAAAGCTGGAGACCCTGGAGACACTGGTTTGTTTGGCGTTGCTGACTGGGAACAGACAGGGAGTCATTTCCCTCCAATAGCTGCTTGGGTGACACAGATTTCTTTATAACTTACTAGCAAGAAAAACCAATAATGTGGTTCTGTCTTTGTTCTTTCAATGCCACCGTCTCTGAGTCTGTGAAGTGTTGCTAAATGGCCTGACAGTCATGAGAACAGACAGCAAGCAGAGAAGGGATGTTCCCACATATTTGTCAAGACCAGAATGACCAGATGCAGAGTTGTCTTTAAAAATAAAAGGGTGGATTAGTTTTGCCTCCCTGTAGAAGAATACATTCGTACAAGCAGTTATTATAGTAAGCTGAAATGTTACTTTTCAGAATATATCCATCCGATGTCATGTGTCCCATCTCCAGGTGATCCCCCTTTTTGGGGAGGAGGAGAGTCAGAGCATTGAGCTATGTGACAGAAGTACCAGCTCTGCTGTGGATGCGTAGCTTGAATCCCTGTGGACTTCCTTGTTCCATTTGTAAAACAGAGATGGTTTTTTACTATCATGAGATATTGTGATTAAATATATAAAGAATTTTAAATTCCTGTGCATCCATGATACAGTATGAGAACTTTAGACATTGAATTACTTAATTTCCAGTTTATAGTTTTCCTTTGGGATTACAAAGTAGCCAGGTTTACTGTTCTCTCAGGCTAAGTGTTGGAAGATGCTTGGCAGGATGTTTTCTTCAGTTAAGTAGAACTCAGCTTGGAGCCTTACCTGGCTGTTGACTGTTACTGTGACCTCCTTCCCTGAAAGCAGTGTTAAAGGCTGGTGGAGAAAGGTTCCTGCGAATATCTTGTCTGCGTATTTTCTGCGTCCAAATCTGCTGTATTTGGAAAGGCCTGAGTCCATGATCTACAGCTCTTTGGAAAAGTATAAAAGTGTTGCTCACAGGTCTCCTTTATTATTTCTATAGTCCTTTTTTTCTGCTTAATAACCCAGAAGGGTTGGAAGCCAAGGCAATGATAGGCAGCTGTGTGACCATACTGAGAAATAACTGTTTTAGAAAGACACTGTTTACATGACTGTCAGGTTACTATTCCTCCATTGGGCACGTTGCACTCTTAAAAACTTTCAGTCACTCTTTTTTCTAAAAGTAGTTGGGAAAGAGCAATGTGCTCACTTTCCCATAGAAGAGCAGAGAGCATAATCTGAAATTAGGTTTGTTGAAAGTCACCAATTTTGCATAGGCATTGACTGTGCCAATCAAACAGTCCCATGTAAGACCAGTTTGGTGACACATGTCACATTATTCCAGCAAGAACTGTGATGCCTCCCTCACCTTACACTGAGCTAGGGAAGCCTACCCCATCTGACCAGTCTCTCAGGCCAGTGCAAAGTCCTACCAGGACCTTCTACACTTGAGAAGAGTTCACAGTGCTCAGGATTTGCAGAGACTCTGCTCTCTTAGTGCTGTGTAGTTTCTTGTACCATGTTGTCTGGATGTATGTGTTAGTCCCAAACAACCTCTGAGCCTTAGACTACCATTTTTTATCTTTATGTGGATTTTGACTTGTGTGTGCAGACACTGGAACTTTCCAGAACTACTGCGAGCCGTGAACATGCCTTTGAGGAGAGTCCTACCAGCCAGTAATACAGCAAAGCGTGGTGGAGAGACCATATTCTGCCTTAGAACAAATCCTGCTATCAAGTTACAGCACCCTCTGAAATCAGGGTAAGGCGGCCTTTAAAAAAAGAATAATCTTGAAACTGTCGTGTCTGTAGCCCATCTGCTTTGCCCATCGTGATAAGCAATTTATCCAGCATCTTCCCTTACTCATATCGCTGGAAAAAATCTCTGCTCTGTGTAGTGATCAGATTCTTTTTTCAAGACTCAGCTTGAAGTGCAAGGCTGTAAGCATGAACATTGGGTGTTCTGACTCATTCTTTTGGAGGGCTAGTTTTATGATTGTTCTCCGTGGAACTACATATTAAAACTCTCAGTTAATGATCTTGAATAATTTTCACAGCTTTCTGCTGAGCCATCTCAGCACAGTGGTTCTTCCCTCTGAGGTAAGAACTTTTCCCAGGTTCTCAGGCTTATAACTACCCTCCATCACTGCAGTCTGTGAAACCAAACTGTTGGCTGAATATCTCCTTTTTTACTTTTTTTTTTATTGTTGTTACTTCAGTAAGTGGCTACAAGTCAGCATCATTTAAAATTTAATCAATCTTGTCCTAACAGGATATACTTCTTGGATTTTAACCCATCTTCTACATAAAACAAACCACTAAATTCAGCTACAATAACTGCCTCGACAGAGCTTTGTCTCAAGAACCTCTTAATGAGCTCTCATTATCACAAATTGCCTGTGAATATCTATAATCTCTTTTGTAGCTCCACACGTCTCACTACTTCCTGTCTCTTGCTTTCTTCACAAGCCATTAGCATCCCTTAGCAGCCTCATTTGAACTATTAACTTTACTGTTTCTAGAAACACACAAGGAACCCCAGGTTCTACTATTAGGTCTGTGTCTTTGAGAGACCTGGGAAGGGATTCACAGGGTCCAACTTAACGGAGCTCAGATTTCTCCTACAGTTCATGGTCCTCAGAGAAAGATTTACTGCAGGTTGTGGGTCTGATGTGACTGGTAACTTCATCAGTCTCTGAATCACCCCATTGAAGGTCCCCTGTAAAGGCACTTAAACTAAATGTCTGATGTTAGACAGTGAGAATCTACATCCTTTCCTCATACACCAGTTTCAAGTCTCCCTGGCTAATCTCCGCACACAATTTTGCCTTCTCTCTAGATCTAATGTGCTGGCAGCTTTTTGTTGTGCTTGCGGTGGATGTTGTCTACCTTGACTTCAGCAAGGCTTTTGACACAGTCTCCCACAACATATTTATAGGTAAGCTTAGGAAGTGTGGATTAGATGAATGGACAGTGAGGTGGATTGAAAACTGGCTGAAAGACAGAGCTCAGAGGGTCATGATTAGTGGCACAGAATCTAGTTGGAGGTCTGTAACAAGTGGAGTCCCTCAGGGGTCAGTACTGGGTCCAGTCCTCTTCAATGTATTCATCAATGACCTGGATGAAGGGATGGGATGTACCCTCAGCAAGTTTGCTAATGATACCAAGCTGGGAGGGGGGGCTGACACACCAGAAGGCTGTGCCACCATCAAGCAGAGGATACGTCCGTGGTCTCCATCCCTACTGAAATCAACCCTAAAAGTAATTGCGTGCTGTGGACTGGGTTCTCTAAGTTTGTCTGGTGACTGCTTAAAGTCCCTGGAGAACAAACATATCAGAGATTTTACAGCTACAAAGAGCTTGTGCCTGAGCACTAATGGGTACATTGGCAAGCAGATCTAACTGGCATTTCTTGCTGTTTCCTAAAGATATAGAATCTTTTCTTTTGACGTTTTGATAGATCAGCAGATTATCATTGTATGTTATATTCTAGGCATGCAACTGAGATGATTAATGTATACAAAAGTGAAAATACCTATATTTCTATGTCTTTACTGTGTTGATGGCATTTTATCTTGTAGGATGACATCCAGAAATGGGAAACCATGGCTCCATTCAAGTCAATTGCAAATCTCCCAGTGACAAAAGAAGCTCATTCATAAAGCTCTAAACACACTGTTTTCTATAACTTTAATTAATGAAATACTCTCAGGAGGAGCCAGACAGAGCAAAGTCTCAGCTCCAACCTTCATCTGATCAGAAGTGTCTCCATTCTGCTGAAGCTCCATGCAGGTATAAAGTGGTTTTTTTCTTGTATCACATGGCAGAAACAGAACCTATTCCTTTCGGGATGCAGGCTGTTACACTTTTCCCTACCAGCTCCAAAACTATGATGGAAGCTGATCTTTATTTACTAGTTTTGTGGTTTGCTTGGGTTGTTGGGTTTGGGTTTTTTTTTTCCCATACAGTAGGTTTTGGAAATAATAAAGATTCATTTCCTTGCTCCCTCTCCTCCATCCCCCAAAGTGGATTTTAACTTCTGTTCAGTAAGGACTGAATCACTTGCTAAAAATTGGCCAAAATATTGTGGGCTTGAGCCACCAAAATGCTTTAAATTGGTTATTTTCTGCTAATCTTTTGTGGTTTTGCTAAGTTTAATAAATCACTGTGGTTAGGAGATAACAAACTCAGCCCAGATCAGAGGAAATGCCTTCGTAGACTTTACGCCACTTGCTGATGGGACTCGCTGACAGCATAATGAGGATGTAAGAACACAGTGAAGTCCTCCCCGGGGTAACGCGAGCTTAGGTAAAGTCATTTAACTCCAGTTAAAAAGTTTCGGAAAAGACTGGAAGGGCGGGGGGCCGCGCTGCTCCGGATCCCTCGGTGCCAGCGGTGGCTCCTGGGGAGGGGGCGGGAGGGGGTACCCAGGGGAGCGCTGCCCGCCTCCATCGCGCCGCAGCCGGGTCTCGGGGCTGCAAACCCTCGACGGCTTTCGTTTCCTTTAGGTTTTGGTTGGTGGTGTTTATTTTTGAAGGTTTCTTGCTAGAGGAGCTGTCGGCGGGCACCTCTCACCCCACCCCGCCCCGCAGCGCTGCCGGTGCCGGTCCCGGGGAGGCGCCGCTCCCCTCCGTGGCGTGCGGCGGCGGGCGGCTCCCTTGGCTGGGCGCCGCGGCGGGGTCACGCCTGCCCGGTGCGCGGCGCTGGGCTTTCCCAGCCGCCCGCCCGCCGCGCCGCAGCCCCATGTCCTCGCTCCCCGCCGGTCCCGACATCAAGAGGGCTCTGGAGAACAGCCCCGAGACCAACATCGAGGATGAGCTGCCCGACGCTCCGCCGCAGCCGCGGCCCAAGAACTACCTGCTCCTCAGCATCCTGGCCTGCTTCTGTCCCGCCTATCCCGTCAACATCGTCGCCTTCGTTTTCGCCGTCATGGTGAGTAGCACCCCGCCGGGTGCCCAAGCCACCTGCGGTTTGGGGATGGGTGTTCGGCGGGGCGACCTCCGGCTCTCTGCACTGGCCCAGCCGCGGCGCTCCCGCCCGGTCCCGCCCGGGACCCGCGGAAGCAAAGCGGGGCTGGAGGAGCCGGCAGGGTAATGGGCATCCCGCCGCCTTTGGAACCACTCGTCCCTGCTGCGTGTGGACAAAGTTAGGTGAGGCAGCAAGCCTTGAGAGCATCAGTCAGCTGTCCTAGCAGCAGACAGAAAATGTGGACTAAAAGGCAGTTCAAATTGAGTTTGCAGTATCAGGCTATATAAGGGAGGGAGTTTTATAACTCAATTAATGGGATTTGTTACATCAACTAACTTGCACACTGAATTGGACACAGTATCTGTGTGTGAAAGTGGCGACTGGGGAGCAGAAATCAGATTTGCAGAGGACCAGATGTGATTTCTGCTTCAGCTAATCAAATATGATAGAAGTGCCTTTTTTTTTCCCCCAGTAAACAAGTTCTTTAGCCTGCTGCTAACTCTTTGCTAGAATAAAACACACAATAGTGATTGTAGCAAAAACCCTTATAAAATTGAGTATCGAGTACACTGAAAGAACAGTCTTACCCTTACAAGCCATGATTGGTTTGCATAGTCCTTAATAATCCAGCAATCTCGTTAACTTCAAAGGGATTGTTAGAACAGAATCTTCTTTGAGTTAAAAGTTGCCAAGTCAGATCCAGACTTTTCTAATAGGATACATGAGCAGTGTAATCAGTGATACTGCAATGTGTTTCTGTTACTTAGGAGCTGAAGAGGGTTTAAAACATTGTGTATTTTCATCCTTTTCTCTGATAGCCAGGCTGAAAAGGTAAGTAAAAATATAGTTTTTTCTTTTTGCAATTAAGTGTAAGAACAATTACTTATATCTAAAATACACTAAAGCACACTGTTTTAAAACTAGAAAGATTGATCAGAAATCACACCTAAATATTGGGATGCACGCATAAGCTTGATAATTACTTAAAGGAGCTATTCTAAACTCATCTTCACAACCTTTTTTGTCCAAATAAGTATTAGCTGTCACTTTATTTTTTTTTTATGTGTCTATTTTCTTTTGTCATTAACTTAACTATACAATAGGCTCTTTTCTTTGATTTGCTATTTGGTCCTGCTGGTACCCAGCATCCTTTCTGTCTGTGGACATTTCGGGTGCTATATAAAGTAATGAGAGCTGATGAGTTGGGGCTGTGAGCATCTGTTCACCCTGACAGTACTTTCACCAAAGCACTAGGGCTGCACAGAAGTTAACTGTCAAGGACAGAATTTGGCCTCTAAAGATTTTTGCACCCCATATGGAGAAATCTCCACCCACGTGCTAGTTGAAGTTCATGCAGCCTTTTCGAGTCAGGCTTAAGTAACTGTCACCAGGGGATATGTAGAAACCAGGGTGGGAAGAGCACTTCCTGAATGCTAAACAGTCTGTGCAGGTCTCAGCTGCCCACTCCCTTAAAGTGGGGGGGAAACAAAAACCAAACCAATAATCTCTGCTGCATGTGAACGCCTTCTGTTTCAACATCACTCTTACCTAAAACCTCTTCTTGTCCATGAAAATAATATGCCCATCTTCTTTGTCACAGCCTGTTCCCTTGCCTTTTAGAGCTGCAACCTGTAACTGCTCCATTAACCTCCAGTCAGGTTCTGCATTTTGACCTGTGCTGGTTTTATTTCCACTTCCTTTGGGATCTGTATCCTCTTTCTCAGCTTGTTTCCTAGAGTTGCCAAGGCTTAATGTTGGGATACGAGAGTGGGTTATTTTCTTTTCTTACAGAAGATACCTTTATAGTCTGCAGACCTTGCCTGAGATCTTGTGTCAGAAGAGATTTGTAAAAAATTTCTAGTTCTTGGAATGGGCCTGGGAGGAAAAGTCCTGTTGGCTTCTAGAGGGGCATGGTTCAGCACCCTCTTTGCCTGTGTCATGTCCTCTTTAAGTGCTCTCAATTCAGAAAGTGTTTTCACTCTAAAAGTAGAGTCTGGGCTCTAACACACCCCCAAATTAAATGACAGGTTTGTCTTCAGTCTCTTCTTTCTCTTCTGCTGCCCCATTTACAACTCCAGCACTGGTTTCCTCACTTCTTTCTCACCTTTGGGGGCACAAACCTTACCATTTCAGATTTTACCTCCTTGATTATATTTTTAGAATCAACCTGTCCCAAGTTCTCCTTGTTGCAATAATAACCTTTTCCTGTTCCTTACCTCCTTTGTGAAAGAAGTCTGTTTCTCATGATAGCGGTAAGAGGACACTTAATGGCATCAGTGTGTTGATAAATTAGCATTACAAGATCAGCCCCCTCAAACCAGTTGCTGGTCACTTGCAGGTGTAAGGGTTGTTTGGCAGTTTTAGCAAATGGGGATCTGTTTTCTCCATGGTCCTGGCCAAGACTCCTGGCTGGAGGATTACTGTTCTCCTCAGTACTCTCCTGCAGTTCCACTCAGGTGCCATCAGGTCTCCTGCTTCCTGTTGCTTCCAGCAGATGTATCATGTTGCTCTATGATTAGTTGACTCGCTTTCCTTGTTCTTTCTCACGTAGGTGGGACTACAGGCATCAGGGCAGAAGTGTGGGGTGCAGGTACCAGGTCAGGAGGCTGATGAGACAGAAGAGACTTCTCTGGTGAGAGGCTGAGGGTGGGCAGTGTGTCCCTGAGCTCGTGGGCTCCATATCTGCAGTTGTGCCTTTTCCCCCTGTTGTGAACCCAAAGAGCACTCGCTCAGTGTACTGAGTGTGCTGGCAGTGAACTGGCAGCTGTACCTGAGAACTGGGTGGACTGGGCACATCTGACTCATGGAATAAGAGCTAGAGGGAGGCTGTGGGACAACTCTGAAAAATTAATGAGTTCGGTATTTCTAATATGAGCATCGAGGTCTGATAGTTGAACAAACTGGCCTTTCTCAGTACAGCACCTTCAGTTGTCTTTATTTCAGAGATCTGTATGTCAGACTAGTCATCGGATTCCAGAAGGCCTTAGATCTGTAACAATTTCAAAACAGTCTCTCAAGCTATTTCTCCCTGATTGTTTACTCCTAACTGCCTCTTTATGTTGACACATTTCTGTTTAATCATTTGCATGTTTCAAATAACATATGCGGTCAAGCTGTGACAATCTTGGCTCATCTGCCTCTGATAGCAACAAGCTCTTTGACTACATTTGTTATCCTTGGATTCAGATGCCTTGTCTGTATATTAGTTTCCCTAAGCAGAAACAAGAAGCAAAAGCATGGTAGAAGTCATGGGACAGCAAAGGATGGGACTTGCTTTCTGAGGGGGTCACCTCTTCTAATTGGGATCCTAATGAGCCATGTACGGTGTGTTGGCTTTGGTCAGGTCAGTGACTAGCAGTGATCAGTGTTCCTCTTCAGTTAGAAAGTTTATTTGGAAAGTTTATTATTTATACTGCTCTTTTTAAAGTAGCTTGTAGGTACCTGGGCATCTAATATCATATGGGACAGCCTGTACCTACTTCAGGAGTATTAAACAACAAGGCTCAGCAGCTGTTCTTACGCATTTTTGCATGGCCCTTATCTTCGCAAAATGGTAAGTTTCTCTTCTGCAACAACACTTTCAGCCTGTGCCCAGAGACACAGAAGTCCAGTGTTTGTGTGCTGCTGTACAGGCTGCAGAGCAAACTCCCCTTTCACTGTGTCCTGCTTCATTGCCAAAAAACCAGAGATCAAGCCTGGTTCTGAATAGCTTACCTAGTCCCCCCTCTTCTTTCTCCTTCCCTGTAAGTTGTTCAGAGTGAGGAGTCACAGTGAGCCAGCATGTCTCATTCTTCCTTTGGTCTTAACCAGAGAGTCTCATTTCCAGGCACAGCCAAATAAGGTTTGTTACAGACTGGCTCATAGAAAGCATAGAAAATGTTGAGCAGAGAACTTTAGTCTTGTCTGCCTGGATTTGTAAGAGACATAGAGGAGGGTTTCTGAAGTAATTCAGTATTCTTTCAGCTTTTGCCATAAACGGTGCTCTGGGGATGTGGAACAGAAAATGCACATTAAAAGGGATTAATAGTTTGTAGCTAATTCAGTAAATTTCTGTTCATATGAGGTTAAGTTGCTTCATTGTTGAACTGAGAATATCTTTTATAAGTAGGTGTGTGTGAACCTGGTGAAGTCACTGAGATTGCTCAAGTAAATAAGCAGCTAAGGAACCATGGCTTTAATTTAGTTTATGACTTCATAGTGAGCGAGGTAGCAGAAACCTGAGAAATCATATGGCTGAAAATGGCTGAAATTTGTTTTAGAAGTTGGACAGACCAAATGTCCCACACAGATACTGTACTGTGTATATATTGCCTAGCCCTTGGAAATACACAGATGTAACATTTAAGGCTTTTATGGTTAATTCTGTCTGTGTCTGATGTTGAAAACTAGAAGCTTGATCTAAGGGCTTTTTGAAGCAGACAGAAGTAAATGAATTTCAAAGAGAAATTCATCAGACCCCAACCACTTCCTCAAACCTCTTATTTTTTTCTTGAATGCTAAATTCTGCCTTTTAATTTAAACCTCTTAATAAAGAAACTTTTGTCTCCTTCCTGTCTCTCCCAAATCCTCCTCTTTATCATTAATGCTGTTTTCCTCCTCTTCATCGTAGATTTGTATTAAAATGACATTACTTATTAAAGTGCACTGGGTGAATTATTTATGTGGTACCTGCAGAAATCACATGGACATTTTCCAGACTTCCTAAGTACATTAGTAAGACTGCACAGAACTGCAAGCTGGTGCTGCCGTGTCTCGCTTACAACTCTGCCTCAGGCTTGAGACCACATGAATGGTGAACTGAGTTTAGAGTGTTTGCAGGACCACTCTCTAGATGTCACACAAAGTGAATCCTTGGATGGTGGGGAGAACCAAGTCAGGGCTGAGGTGTCAGTGATGCTTCTCCCTGTAGCCACAGTCACGTTCATAGCTGCTGACAGAGGCAGGAGGAGAAGTCAGTCTGCTCAAGACCAAACTAATCCATGTTTCTTCTGATACTCCTTTCATTGACCTTCACAAATGTATTTTGAAAAACCCTAAGAAAAGTCTTCTCCTGTAGACAGGATTCCTGAAAACAGGGGAGTAAGTCAGGTGAGAGGAGCTGTGCTGGCCACTCTTCGTAACAGGAGGCCGCACTGGTGGAGAATCAGAGGTGACATCATCCTATCTGACTATGTCTTTGTGTCAGTCTCATTTCTGTCTTTTTCTGTCTTTCCCCACTATATCCTTTAAGTCCACTAGCCAACCTCAATGAAATTTGACAGCAGAGCAGAGGTATTAGCAATATTCTTTAGAGAAATAAAATAGAGAAATGTTTAGGCATGTAGGCTTCCAGGAAGAGAAGAAATGTATCAGTGCTCTCTTTAAGGACAAGAGTGCATCAGCAGCTCAGCCTTTCTTAGACGCCAGAGAATAAGTACCTGCACTTATCCTTGAGATGCAATTCTAGGAATATTGGCTTCATTGCTTTGGGACTGCCTTGGCACAAGTCATCTTACTGCAGTGCTAACACCAAGGATGCATCTAAGCCCATTAACTTCTATGTGCTCACTAATCGACAGACATGCACAGATAATGCCCCTAATTATTTTTTTGCTTGGAGAAAAAAGGTTCTACAGCAGTGCTTGGTATCCTCTGAAATTCTTTCCTTTCCTGCTCGCTGCAATCTCAGATCCTTACTCTGTTGAAATGTTCTGTCTTTGCTACAAAAAGTGATTCATAACAAAATCACTTTTCCTAATAGGACTTTGTGATACCTCATGCAGTCATTTTCTAAAGACAATCTGAATTATTTAGTCCACAGGGCAGTTCATTTGATCAGGTCCCCACATTCCTTCCCCCACACCTTCCATTTCTGGCATGCTTCCTGAAATAGAATCATAGAATGGTTTAGATTGGAAGGGACCTTAAAGATCATCGAGTGCCGCCCCCTTCCCTGGCCAGTGACACTTCCCACCAGACCAGGTTGCTCAAAGCCCCATCCATCCTGGTCTTGAACACCTCCAGGGATGAGGCGGTCACTGCTTCTCTGGGTAACCTGTTCCAGGGTCTCAACACCCTCACAGCAAAGAATTTCTTCCTAATATCTGATCTAAATCTCCTCTGTTTCAGTTTAGAACTGTTCCCCCTCATCCTACCTCTACACTCCCTGATAAAGAGTCCCTCCCCAGCTTTCATGTAGGCTCCCTTTAGGTACTGGAAGGCCATTATAAGGCCTCCCCGGAGCCTTCTCCAGGCTGAACACCCCCAACTCTCTCAGCTTGTCTTCACAGCAGAGGGGCTCCAGCCCTTGGAGCATCTTTGTGGCCTCCGCTGGACTGTCTCCAACAAGTCCATGTCCTTCTGATCCTGGGGGCCCCAAAGCTGGACACAGCACTCTAGGTGGGGTCTCACCAGAGCAGAGTAGAGAGGTAGAATCTCCTCCCTCGACCTGCTGGCCACATTTCTTTTGATGCAGCCCAGGATGCAGTTGGCTTTCTGGGCTGTGAGCACATGTTGCTGGCTCACACTGAGCTTCTCATCAACCAACACTCGCCAGTTCTTCTCCTCAGGGCTGCTCTCAATCCATTCTCCACCCAGCCTGTATTTGTGCTTGGGATTGCCCTGACACGCAAGTGCAGGACCTCGCACTTGGCCTGGTTGAACTTCATGAGGTTCACAGTTTGCTTGGAGAAAAAAGGTTCTACAGCAGTGCTTGGTATCCTCTGAAATTCTTTCCTTTCCTGCTCGCTGCAATCTCAGATCCTTACTCTGTTGAAATGTTCTGTCTTTGCTACAAAAAGTGATTCATAACAAAATCACTTTTCCTAATAGGACTTTGTGATACCTCATGCAGTCATTTTCTAAAGACAATCTGAATTATTTAGTCCACAGGGCAGTTCATTTGATCAGGTCCCCACATTCCTTCCCCCACACCTTCCATTTCTGGCATGCTTCCTGAAATAGAATCATAGAATGGTTTAGATTGGAAGGGACCTTAAAGATCATCGAGTGCCGCCCCCTTCCCTGGCCAGTGACACTTCCCACCAGACCAGGTTGCTCAAAGCCCCATCCATCCTGGTCTTGAACACCTCCAGGGATGAGGCGGTCACTGCTTCTCTGGGTAACCTGTTCCAGGGTCTCAACACCCTCACAGCAAAGAATTTCTTCCTAATATCTGATCTAAATCTCCTCTGTTTCAGTTTAGAACTGTTCCCCCTCATCCTACCTCTACACTCCCTGATAAAGAGTCCCTCCCCAGCTTTCATGTAGGCTCCCTTTAGGTACTGGAAGGCCATTATAAGGCCTCCCCGGAGCCTTCTCCAGGCTGAACACCCCCAACTCTCTCAGCTTGTCTTCACAGCAGAGGGGCTCCAGCCCTTGGAGCATCTTTGTGGCCTCCGCTGGACTGTCTCCAACAAGTCCATGTCCTTCTGATCCTGGGGGCCCCAAAGCTGGACACAGCACTCTAGGTGGGGTCTCACCAGAGCAGAGTAGAGAGGTAGAATCTCCTCCCTCGACCTGCTGGCCACATTTCTTTTGATGCAGCCCAGGATGCAGTTGGCTTTCTGGGCTGTGAGCACATGTTGCTGGCTCACACTGAGCTTCTCATCAACCAACACTCGCCAGTTCTTCTCCTCAGGGCTGCTCTCAATCCATTCTCCACCCAGCCTGTATTTGTGCTTGGGATTGCCCTGACACGCAAGTGCAGGACCTCGCACTTGGCCTGGTTGAACTTCATGAGGTTCACAGTGGCCCATCTCTCAAGCCTGTCCAGGTTCCTCTGGATGGCATCCCTTCCCTCCAGCATGTTGACCATGCCACACAGCTTGGGATCACCGGCAAACTTGCTGAATACAGGATACTAAAGAACAGGTTATGAATAACCCAATTCCTCAAGGAAGTATGGTGAGATAGTTCAATAGTGCAATCTGATAAAGAAATCTGGACTTAATGTCCTGGTTTATGAATTCAAACTCTCCTGATCTTACAAAATAGCTCTTAGTAATGATAGTCTTTTTAAAAATTCTTTAATACCACCTTGTTCTTGCAAAAAAAGTTACTACAAACTCTGTTAGATTAATTTACTAGAATACTTCAGTGTCCCCCACTGAATCTTTTCTTTTAAAAATATGGTCTGGCTAAAACAATTAATTCAGAAAACACTACAGTGTGTCTCACAAAAGAATAGAAGATCAGTGGTGCTATCACACTTTGCAGTCTCTCTATGTAATGAATATAAAGCATCTGCTAAATCATGGGTGGATAAACTCAAGTATATTGAGATAACATCCATGTCTGATGTGTACCTCAGGATGCATATGACAATAATTATCAGTATGTTCTGAAAACACAAAGGGACACTTTCTAGCCCATGAAGGTGGCACTCAAATGTTTTGTTGGGGTTTTTCCACCACTGGCAAACTACCTATTAATTCTTCAAACTTTGTTTTGAAAAGTAAAGCATTGGAAAAATAGGACACTAGTAGACTAGTAGACTTATTTTAAGAAGTTTTCCTGAGTCTTTCTGTAAAAATGCAGCCCATTTATGCTCCTTTTTATGCTTATGGTCTTGTAAAGTGTAAGAGTTATTTTCCTGCTAGTGAAGTGGCCAACTAGCAGTTCACATGCACTACAAAAATATTTCCAGAGATAAAAGCTACAGATTTATGCAAGTGGGTGGATTAGAGTTGATTTGGCAGCTTTTATGCTGGTGTGTACAAGAAAACTCATCATAAGAGTATAGCCTTACAGCTGAAAACAAGAGCTGTAGTTGCAATGAAATATACTGAAAACGAGTGGAATAGAAAACTGGACTTACCTTGGACTGTTGGTAGTGGATGTTTATTTTTACAAAGCAAATCACAGTTTTCTAAAGTCTTTTCTATAATTGGTTCAAAGTTGCATTGGTTTGTACAGATTTCTGTTTAAAAAAAAAGTCACAAACTCTCTGTTTCTCTTCTACAGGCTTTAAACAGTTATAATCAAGGAGATATAGAAGGGTCAAAAAGACTGGGTCGCAATGCTCTCTGGGTTGCCGTTGCATCCATTATCATCGGGCTTGTCATCATCGGAATCTATTGCGTAGTTCATTTCACCACGGTAAGCAAAATGCTGTCGGTTCCAATGCCAGCAGTTCTCTGCGCACGGGCTTCAGAACATGAAACTAAAGATTATCAGAACCATCTGCTAATGTTAAAATTTAGGCACACATGTATGTTTTCCAGAAAAGCAATTTTTACTTATTTTGCGATTTAGAATATTCCTTGTCTGTGGTTAAAGGCAAGCAACTGTGTCTTAGCAGCAGTGAATTTTTGTAGAAACTCTTGCAGCTCCCATAGGATTTTCCAATTTAGACCAGTTGCCTTTTGGGTTTTCTGCCTGTTAGTTTCATCTTTTGCAAGACGAAGTGTATAGAGATCCTTGGATTTCAGGTAATAGAGTCCCCAGGTGCTAATTTTCAGTCTCATAATCTGTCCAACGTGTCTTTTAACTTTGTAAGGAGAAGATGATGGTGGTCAATTACTGTTTTATTGTTTGATATTAAGGTGACCATAACTGTATCAAAAATGACCACAAATGGAATTTTGACGTGGTTTGCTGTGGGAGAAGGTTGGTTTCTCTCAGTCCTGTGTGATTGACCTGCCTTCGTATACCTGGAATGATAGTAAAGAAGATTGACAAATGGATCTCTGTATACACAGTGGTTATCCAGATGGATTATAAGCTTATTTGAAAAAGAGGGCAAAAGTAATTAGGGTATTGATATCCTTTCTTAAGGTTGTGCAACAATATGTTCTTTTCTCCATAATAATGTGCACTGCCCATTAAAATAACCAATTTGAATCAATTTATTATTGGCTGTTTTGGTTGGAGAGCCTTTCAGTGCACTGTACAAACTTGTGTGTGAACCATAAACAGAGATCACCTCACCGCTGAAATGCAAACATCTCTGGGGAGTGGAATGGAGTAGCTGGTTAAATATATACAGAAGTACACCAGATTGAACAGCAGGGGTGGAAATGGGGTCTGTTTCTCTAGGATATTAGTGGATGGTGCTGCAGAACCAGAAGCTTAATGTATATTCAGTAATTCCCTATGCATTTTTGCAAGCATGAATCTCTTCTGGTTCAGCCTGTGTTCAGTTTGTTCAGCCCTCACAGATTTAAAGCCAAGTCACTTCAGGCTGAGTGTGCCAAGTTTTCTAATTGACAGCAGCAGTAAATTCCTCTGTTCGCTTCTACTACCTTACTCATCGTTTCTCAGACGAGGATAGCAGCTTGGTTATGTGTTTTGTTTAAGTAGGAGGAGAGAAGGGCAGCATGAGGAGTGGCAGACAACACTGACCTGAAGCAGTCATGTTAACCAGGGCACACTACCTACACTTAGTTGTAGTCAACAATTCACTTTCACTACATTAAGGTCCCCGCGTGCTGAATGTGTGAACGCTTCCTTGTGCCCATTGCCAGATATTAGTGGTAGTTGGCACTTTACATCTAGCTAGCATTTGTAAGCACCTGTTTATCTTCTGCCCTCAAGGGAGTAAGGGAGTAAGCAGCAGTAAAGCAGTATAATACAACTTCATGGGGTTTTTTTCTAATTTTTTGTCTTTTCGGGATTTTTTAAATGGCCTTCCAGTACCTAAAGGTGGCTACAGGAGAGATGGGAGGGACTCTTTATCAGTGAATGTAGTGATGGAACAAGGGGTTCAAAGTTGAAGGAGGGGAGATTTAGATCAGATATTAGGAAGAAATTCTTTGCTGTGAGGGTGGTGAGGCCCTGGCCCAGGTTGCCCAGAGAAGCTGTGGCTGCCCCATCCCTGGCGGGATTCAAGACCAGGCTGGAGGGGGCTTTGAGCAACTTGGTGTGTTGGGAGGTGTCCCTGCTCATGGCAGTGGGGTTGGAACTGGATGATTTTTGAGGGCCCTTCCAACCCAAACTGTTGTATGATTCTGACATTTGTATTTTATACGAAATTTTCTTCCACTGGTGTAGATGGCGTTGCATGCTCCATGTAGTTATCTCACATCCATTTGTACCTTGGTCATGATTATTTACTAACAGCCGCTTTGCACTCTGCTAATGTAAAGTGAGTGTAAATTACTTCTATGCTAACTTTAATATATATGCTTTCTAGAAGACCAGTTCAATGAGGTCAACTTGCTGAATTTCAGTAGCCTCTGAATATCAAAACCCCCATTCCCTATGCGAAATTCTAACTAAAGTTATTAATTTGTTTCCTCATCTCCTCTTCTGGCTTTTCAGTGCCCAAACCTACTATGTGTTCCATCTCGCGTAGGAAAGGGGTTAAGTCCTGTGCTTTAAGCAGAGCTGAGGAGGGTTCCCATGGGTATTCCACCTGCCTCAGCCAGGAGAAAAACATCTGGTCGAGGTATTGAGGGTAGAAATGGTAGAAGCTGCAGAGAGAGGAAGTGCAACAAAGTCCTGCTTTGAACAAACAGTGGCATTACACCCCCCAAAATACTGGTAGACTTGGGAAAAGGAAGACCCTTCTGCTTTTCAGAAGCAGCAGGCTCTGAGCCCCGAGCTTCCTTGTGTGTCTTCTGTGGTTTGTTCAGTGACAGAGCAACGGTAGCAGAGGAATAGCAGCAGGGGAGACCTACGTCTGCGTGGAAGAAACAGCCTTGAGTTTGCATTTTGAAGATTTACTAGGTGCTAAGCCAACTCAGGGCTTCTACTGCTGCCTTGGAGAGCCTCATTTGTCTTTAACACTGGCATGTTATCTTTAGCAAACATACATTAAGATACATAGTGATACATACATATATAGCCTGGAACAGGGCCCACCCAGCACTTGAGAGCCATCTACCTTCTGCAGTCATGACCCTGAGTGTAGACAAGGGGAAGCTGTCACTTGCATCGCTGCAGTTAACAGCCCCGCAGTGAAACTTGTCTGTTTTGATCAACGTAAACTGGTGTGTTCCTTGTTACACTGAGGAATCACTGAGTGTTAAGCTGCAGCGTGTGCTGAATGAGGGCTATCCCCCATTCCACACCAGGCCAAATTTATTCTTACTCCAGTCTGTATCTTTTACCTTCTCCTGTCACCTTCTCCTGCACTCCCACCTTGCCAGTCCTGAATGCAGAATTACACTTTCACTGTTTGCTCAGATGTAACTTAAACCAGTATTTGTGTCACCGCCGAGTCCAGCCCTGCGTATGTGCCCATAGGCATGCTGTCCATCAAGAACTGCAGTGAGAAAAGGGACATATATATCTTCCATAAGGAGATGTCACTACAAGCTGAAACAGCGCAGAGCTGTGTGCCATACCCTGCATGTGGTGTGGCCTTAATCTGCTGTAGTGTGCCTGGTTAGAGAGCAAATTGCAAGATAGATATTGACAGGCAACACTCAGCTGGGAACCACAGCCTGAATCCAGCCTCTAGTTCTGATGTCCTTCTCTTAAGAAAGACATGGTGTACATACACACACCCTGCAAAGAGAAGGGCTGCAAGGTATGAAAAAAACTTGATATGTGGAAAGACAAAATAGACACAATCTTTTTGGCTTGGGAAAGAAAGACTTAAGAATGAGTAGTTAAAGGCAATGAAATAAAGAGTGGTTATTTGTTGTCTCTTACTAACAAGATGAAGGGGCATCAGAGGAAAGCAGCTTTAAACAAGAAGGAGGTACTTTTCCCAGTGACATACAATGCAGATGTGAAATCTATTCATTCTGGTTGCTGTGGATACAAAAAATACAAATGATTTGAAACAGCAAGTGAAGTTGCAAAGAAAAGCTTAAATGCAAAGATGCAGATATAATCTTGGGCTCAGAAAGTTTCTAAGCTGCAGATGGCCAGAACTGGAAGGCAGTAAAGGGAGAAATATCACCCTGGACATAGCCTTTTCTTTATACAGTCCCCTTAGGCATTTGTAATGTCACTGTCACTGATGGGATGCTGTGAACAACCCAGTACCACTGTTCTTATGCTCCTGCATAAAGCTTGTAACTCACCTTCCCACTGACTTGAATGGATCTGGAGTCAGAATGGTTTTGGAGCAGATTCCAAATTCTGTTCTGTTTTGCTTTTTGGTAACACAAGACATTTGGTGTCTTTAGGTTTCATTTGAATCTTGCTGCCAGGATTTAGGAAAATGTAATTCTGGTTTGGAACCTCCTTACTTAAGTGATGTCCCAAACCCTTTTGTTAACTGTATCTCAACATGTCATATTCTACTTCATGCCACCATGGGATTTTTACTCCATTGCTAGGTTTGCAGCACAGGCTGTTAGTCTGAAACAACATGCAGCTTCTTACAGCACACGCTTTTAGACTGTCTCCAGCTTAAGAATGCTGCTTGGAGAACTAGAACTTACATGAGCTTTGCTTCTCAATTGAGCCACAAAGCATGTCACATAAAGCCCATATCTTCTGTGCACCTCTGTAGTGGTTCTCTGCAGTCTAGGCAAGTAGGAGCAAATAAAGTAGAAATGTGACGAACTGGTAAGAGATGTCAGAGTGAAGTAAAGACATAAGCTTTTCTGTAGAGCTCGTAGGTAGCAACAGTTTTGGTATGAGGGAGGGTAGCTAAAGTACTGAAGGAAAGGAATGCAAGAAACTCCTCCAATGGACCAGTGTCCAAGACTGTTTTAATTCACATCAGAATTGCATTGTGTTTATTTATCTTGAACCCCAGGGCCACAGACAGGGTAGAATTATCTTCTGGTAATAACTTATGTGAGAAGGGTAGTTGTGTATGGTGACTTTGGAATTTCATGCAAACCATTATGATATTTTGATGCTTTTGTAGAGGAGTGTGAACTTTTGACCCCTTCTTTAATCTCACTTGATCTAGAACTTCACCCCAAGGAAGTCACAGAAATACCACCTGTCAGCATGGCTTGGAAGGAAGACAGAGAGACAGCCAGGCTGGGCAGAAAGCACTGGCTTATACTGTTTCATAATCAGTAGGTTCTTAAATGGAGCATATGTGCAGTAACGCAACATTAGTGGTAGAAGGAGGAGGAGTAAGCATTTAGACTCTGCACCAGGGACAGATGTTTTTCATACATACATTTTTCTTACTAACTTAGAAATAATTGTTTAGGGGGAAAAGGCATGCAAGATTACTTTTAATCTCTGCTGTCCCCTTCCCAAGGCTCTCAAAAGCCTTTGCAACCATTTCACTGAGTGACTGTCTCTCTTTCAGAGACAGAATAAACTGAGGTCAGTAAGATGGCAGGAATTACACAGCTGACCTCCAGATCTTTACATTGCAGTCCAGTCTCTGTACCTCACCATAGGAAAAAAAGAGTCAAGAAAGACTAATCACCTTTCGCTGCAGGGATTGACCTGCCAGTAACTGATAGAGCACAAAGACTGAAGTCATGGCATTCCTGTTGTCTTTTACTCACATTAATTCTCGGTGCCCACCTAGCCAGTGAGCTCATACCGCTGCTTTTCTATCAATAAGGGCATTAACTGATTATCTCAGTATTTCAACTGATACCCTACATCTTCTTACTGAATTTGTAAAGCATAAGAGCTTAAAGTCCTCTACCTATCACACCTGTTCAGTCAGCTCAGAGGCTCCGTAGTGAGCAGACACATGTGGATGCACAGAGGCAACGTGATTACATCAGCCTCATTTCCGTAGCAAAGTACATCAAAAATTCTGGTCCAGTTGTTTCATTTGTGCATGGAGGAAATAGATCCACAAATCCCACAATAGTTTCTGCCCATTAGAGTCCTGAGTAGGATCCAAGAGGCAATCAACAAAGGAGTTAGTGCTGTCTGCAGGACATATTTACTGTTCAGTGCCTCACGTCCTAGATCTCTCTTTAAGGAGCTGCTAAATGGTAGCTGCTTGGTGGAGAAGATATCTCAGGCACCAGCAGAGAGTCCAGCATCCAGGGACAAGCCAGTGAGATCTCTACGTCTCTGGGTGATGTCTGAGACCTACCCCAACACAAGAATTTGAGGGACCTTCTCAGATCATTTCCTATCCTAAGGCAGATGCTCAAGCAGAAGTTACTCAGTCCTTTTAAAACGTCTGCCATGTATTACTGTTGTACTTACTAAGTTGTCTACTGCTGAAAGAACTGTTCTTGCCTGACTCTTTTATGTACCACTACAAGGAAGCAGAGATGCTGTTGACCTCTTGAAACTTTGTCAAATAAGAGCCCGTTTCCTGGCAATGAAAGATTCTGACTTGCGTTGATTCATGTAACCCAGTTTAAAAATTCAGTTTAGATTGACAGATGACCAGTGCTATCGGAAACTTCGCTCTTTGATTCAAAACTGTATTGAACCACTAATCTAGAGGGATGTTTGTTAAGAGAACAATTGCCACTAATGTGGCATAATGTATCCATTAGATCTGTAGAATTAATAATTTAAATTCACAAGGCAAACTCTTTGTCTTTTCCGCTTTAAAAAATACATGTTTCTGTGTCCTTGCAGCATGCTATCTGAAGACCAGGACTGCACTTGGAAGAAATCATCATGTAAATCTTGGGAGTGGAAAAAGAAGAGGAGAAGGAAACCCTTCATTCCAGACTGTTAGATTTGACACTGCAAGTCTGCAGAGGCATGTTGCTGGTGGATGAACCGATAGTCCAGTTAGTTAATCAGCATGGCGTGACCAGGTTTTCAAAATTATTTATTTATAAGGAATCTTAGTATAAAGCAGCATTTTCTCTTCTACCCTGATGTATAATGAGATCTTGCCCTAACAACTCCCTTTTCTTTCTCATTTACGTGGAATGTATGCTGGATCCATGGTGTTCCCTGGCTGACCCTATCCAAACAAAGCCAACGTATCTAGACTGTTTATAGTGCACGATGTAAGATCTGATGCACAGCCCGCTGAAGCTAGTAGAAGAGCTCCTGTTGCTGCCTCCAGTGGGTTTTGGATCAGGCCATTAAGGATTTTTTTATTACTTTAAAATAGTCTCAACATAACACAATCATAACCATGGTTTGTGATTTTATCCTGTTATGTGATTTTATAATGCCGTGGGCGTACTCTGCAGCTGCAAAGCGGCTGCTTTCTTCTGTCATCCTCAGCTTTTAGGTCTTTACCTTGGATTTTTAACCACCTGGGACCGATTTGAATCACTTGATTACTAAGAGACACTCTTCTTCCATAGCGTCCTTATTTTTCTTAATGATTTTTGTTTGTTTTGTTGTCTTTCATTGTTGAACTCCCTTGATTTAGCTCCAGTCCTGCATTAAAGTTGCACTGATCATATTTTCCTCTTTAAACTTCACATATGTAAAAAGTTCATATTTTTTTATCTGACAAAAGATCTTTTTAAATAGATGTTCTTCTTCTTCATCCCTTTGTTACTGTTCCTCTAGGAAGTCACATAGTTTCATTGTGTTCTGCTTTGTTCATGTCTCTTTTGTTTACTTCATCCTCTCATCTTGCTATGAATAGTCTATATATCAATATGGTTAGAGATGGACAGACTTTTGTACGCATACATAGTTACCTACACTCTTGCTGATCCTAAGATATTAGTGAACAGCTTTAGGTTACAGAATTGATAGTCTCTAAATTACTGCAGTTTCTTGATACCTTATGAAAATTTTGCATGGAACAGCTGTTTTTTATTAGCTGAAAACTGTTTGAAAGAATATATTTGTTTTGTCTCACAAATATACCATGTTAAAAGGACTGTGCTCTGGTGAGCGTTAAGACAGATGGCTACATCTTCAGCAGTTGTTGCTCCATTTGCTTTAATTGTTACTACATCTTCAAGCGAGCTATGCCAGCTTACACTCTCCTTGTACTTACATCAATCTGGACCTACTACCCAGAAATGCATGGGAGTTCTGCAGGTGCAAGTGAGAAAAGAATCATGCCTGGCGGGAGTACAACTACCTATTGAAAAAAAGAAAAAAATCAATCTCCCAGAAACCTTTACCTGTTAAAGTATATGCCTGGAAGTAGCATGCATTTTCTGTGCCTTGAATATTATACTTTTAATGTGCTTTTTCGCTTTTCTTTCTGCCAGATTCTGTTTTTCATTGAAGTCAGTGATGCATCACCTATCCTTAATTACTCTAGTATAAAACCTCATGAACAGTGGTGAATTCAGTTGATTTCTTCAGCATTTACACTGATCAAATATGTCCACAGAGGAATCTTGTCACTGATTTTGATGATCCCAAGAGTTGGCTGTTCTGTGAACTCCTCTTTGCTTTTTGAATACTATTTCAATGGTCTGGTATGTCTTGTGGGACTTTTAGTAGCTTGCCTTATTATCAGATATGATAGAACTGTCATTGAGAAGTGGAATAAAATTACTTTTAATTCATGTCCATTCTGGTATGTGGGAAGTGTCTTTCCTAAGTTTTGTTGCCTCTTCTGTTTTCAAGAGTAATATCCCTTTTTCTAACCCCTTGGACAGTTTCAGAATCAAAGCAAAAGCAGGATTTCTGGTCTACGTGATACTATACAACCACTCTGTACTGTAGCTAGTGCATTCAGAAGTTGCTAGAGATCAATTAATGCTCAAAATAATCAGCAAGGTAAGCTTTTTACTTCGTTTTCAAAATAATATCCAGAAAGAGTGTTGAGGCCGTTTCAGAATGGTCCCTTGGTGGTCTCTTCTCTTCGGGGCTTTCCTGCCAGGAGGGGAAAGTGGTCAAATGAGGTCACCGAAGGAGGTCTCTCAGCAGGCCACAGGGGTCAGGTTTCTAACGCCTTGAACTGCTGGCATCAAAGTGAACAATATTGCATTGCTGTCGTAATAGTTTTCTACGTCAGTGTACTAAAATTCAAAGGGTGTACAAAAAGTTTCCTCCTTCTGCAAAATATTAAACTCCAGTTCTGTAAACTAAACCACAGCTCGTGGGGTGAGAGGGGAGAAAGATTTCTAAAGGTATTTGGGCGCTAGAGGATAGTAATAGGCAACTTGAGGTATTTTTTGGAAAGTGCCTACCAAGGATTTAGATCAATAGGAGCTAAACACCCGACTTGTTGAGATGCTTTTGAAAACCATACTGGAAATCTAACTTGCATCTTGATGCTCATAAATATCTTTGAAGTCTTGCTCTTAACATAATTGAGAATTGAGCCATTGTATCTTCAGTGTTTCTGAAGATAAATGTTGCTACCTTACAGCGCTATTGATTGGTATAAAAATAAAGGCTTTATATTAAACCACTTAATGTGACAGAGAGGGGAAAATGCAGCAATTCCTCTAATGTCCTTTAGTGCTTCTATGTCATAGGTAATCTTATTTTTGCTATACTAATGTACTGGTATTGGTTCTCTTCATTTATTTATGTTTACATAAATTTCAACCATGTTTGAGAAATGCAGCTTGTGCTGGAAATGAATATGGTCCTTTTATGACCAAATCATTCTGTTGTAGGTGTGATGGATCCATACAAAGTGAGCTATCAAACACAGGGAAGCTAAATGACATTTTACTGCCCAAATGAGCAAGACCCCTGGTGACAGCAGTGGGTGTGGAAAACAGAATGCAGTTGTCTGAGGAATTAGTGCATGCTTTGTATTTTGAGGAGCATATAAACAAATTCCGTTATTTATGACAAGCTCTTGACATTATCTGTTCTTCATCATCATGCATCTAGATTTGGATTTGGCCTGTTATTTCTGCATTGCACTTACTGGGTTTTTTCATGGAAAAAAAAAAAAAAAAAGACCTGTCATATATATGCATTGAATTATGTTATTTCGTTAAATAGGTGGGGAAAAAGTGGTAAAACCCAACTTACTGGGTTTTTTCATGGAAAAAAAAAAGACCTGTCATATATATGCACTGAATTGTGTTATTTCATTAAATAGGTGGGGAAAAAGTGGTAAAACACGTTTCAACTCAACATCTGTCTTGGCCAGGTGAACAGAGTCTTCCTACCACGAATCTGCTCCAGGCTTCCAGTTTTTGGTGCAGTCTTCCTGCAGGCTGAAGGCACAAACTAATGCCTGAAGTCCAACTCTCTTTTCCTCCTGCATGTGTTACAGGCAGAGACAGATGGAAACTTGAAATTGCTGGCCTCAGCTCCTGGATCATGTTAGAGTCTTTCGCTTCTTACAGGGCAGCTGCATCTGCAAAACAGCAGTGTGCACGTATCTTGATATGTAACCCTAGAAGAGGGCTTCTAAATATAAGAGAAGTTTCTTTGCTGCCGTATGAAGGGGGTCAGCCAGACCCTGTGAAACAACATGCAGTGTATGTTTCATTAGATTGCACAGCAAAATAAAAAAAAAGATCAAGGGGACAACATGAAATTAAATTCCTAGGGTGTCTCCCTGCAGGAATACCCAGGATTTTACAGTTTATGGCTTGGAGATTAGCAATGGCTCTTCAATTTATGTGGTTGCAACCACAATCCATGAGCAGTGTGGCTTGAAGCTCCAGAATCTGTTGCTTTTGTACTTGTATCTCTAGATATATGCTCCCGGTGTTATGCCACTCACCCTAGAGATAGGTTGTATCTGATTGCTGTCAGTGCCCACCACTCTCAGAATCATTCCAGATGCATCTGCTGGAACAGTGTGCAAGCATCTCTCTCTAGGCTCATTTCCTTACCTGGACCCAAACTTTGTCAACCAGTTACTTAAAATGGATTTTGTTACTGATCTGCATCAGTAGGAGAGAGAATGGATCGCCTTCCCAGTTAGTGTTTACGTTGTGTGCGTTGTGTGTGCACACTCAAAGATGGGATTCCCCAGGACAAATAAGATGTAAATGCAGAGAAAGTCACTGGATTGATTTGGGGCACTGTAGGTAAGCCATTACCTGGTTACCTGAGAGCTGATCAGGAGCCTTAATAGAATGTGTTGTTTCATGGAGGGAAGAGTCCTTATCACCAGATCTTCACTCCTGATAGAGGTGTGAACTAAGAGGAGGTTGAATAGATGTGGAACCTACTCTCACTGTGGAGGAGGTACCTCCAGGCAAAATCAGAGATGCCAGAAGACCTGTGCGGGGTAGTGTGTGGCTGCTGCCCAACCTGCAGCTCTTCTTTGCCTGAGCCCTCAGGCATTACCTTCAGGCTGAAATACTATTTGAACGTTGGCTTCCTCTTACTATCCTCCAATCTCATTTTTAATTAGTAGGTCTCTGAAGGTGTGCAGTGTTACACTGGAGTAGAGGAGAAGGCATGCAATGGTCTGTGAGTGATTTTTATGCACACTCACAATTCTCCATTTCCCAAGCACAACGGCATGTTCTGCATGCACAGCAATGGCATGTGTCCCTGAAATGTGAGTGAGCCTTTAAGGAGGCTGCCCAACTTCCTCTGCATCGCTCTCTGGCAGCCTAGAAAAATGGGCTAAATTCAGAAGTGACCTAAAAGGAGGAGAGGGTTTGGAAGCAGATCACTCAGCCGATGTAAAGATGGAGGAACAAACTTGGGAGCCCAAGGTAGAAAGGAAGGTTATAGTAAGAAGTTTAACCAGAAGGGTTTTGCAGTTAAATTTATCCTGTCTTGAATTCTAGGGTAAGTTCTGGTGCTGCTACCACCTAACTCACTCTGCACGGCACAGAAGCTACAAGAATCACTTGCTCATTTGTCATTTATAATGTGATTTATGGCAAGTCTGAATTTGATCTACCGGCTCATGACTGAAGATGGCTCTTCTGTTTTTGTCATATCTAGCTGTAGGGCTGAGTCAGCTTCCACTTCGCTTGCAATGACTTCTCTGTGGCTAAATAAGCTTGCATCATGTCAAGGAAAAAGAATTTTGCCAGATATCAGCGGATTCATCAGGACTTTAAACTGTGCAGTCTGAGACTTAAGGCCAGTGCATTTCTTTTTCAACTCATGCTCTGGGGTAAGAGAAGGGGAAACTCCACTGAACTTAAGGGATGCCCCCCAGAGCAGGCTGTGTGCCATGGCAGCCTCCTGTACACACAGCTCAGCCAGTGTTCATGGCAGCTTAATTGCCTTTTGATATTAACCAGCTCCAGGAGATAATCCAAACAGTGAAAATGAGAGAGTGCAAGTGGTTGGAGAGTGCCATCCCTTCCTCAGGGTTAGCACAAGAGTTCGGCTCTGACTTTTTGTGCCTGAAAGGTTTGTACAGCTGTTCTTCACCCTATTTAATCAAAGACACATATTCCCCTAACACAGTTCTCTCCTGAGCTGCAATCTATCCTGTTTGGTCCTTACTTTCTTTAAAACTGAGTCAGCTGATGAGGACAGTAAGTGATATCTCCAAGGGGGTAGAATGACTCAGTAGTAAAGATGTCACTTCACCACTCAGCCTGTACAGCACTGGAAGTGCTCTGTCATGATTGTCAGAACTTGACAAAGTCTGCTGAGTCTCGTGATCTCATGAGCCAAGAACCAAAACACCTTTAAATTAATTTCTGAATAAGATGCTCTGTATGAGTTTTAATAGTCAAGCCAGATCTAGTTCATGTTTGTTAAAGAAGGTAGATGTGAGTAAGGGAAAAAGGAGCTGACCTTTGCTCGTGGCTGGTGACATGGTAAATAACATGGAGACCATGTAGCTCTTCATATCCTGCAGGTGTTTTACAAACATCCCATTTTAGAACCTCTCATTGCCCTATGAGGTGGTGTAGCACAGTCCTGACACCCGATAAGGCATTTAATCATAAGCATCCCATTTTAGAACCTCTCATTGCCCTATGAGGTGGTGTAGCACAGTCCTGACACCTGATAAGGCATTTAATTACTTTTATCTTGGTTTATGGGTTGTGGACAATCTGAAAATGGACTGTGGGTTTTTTTCCAAGGGAATTTCTTATTCAAAATTACTCAGTTACATTTTCCCCTGATCCTTTTACCCTCCAGCTGCCATTTGCAATTCAGTCTTGTTGTGATTCACCATACAATTTCCATGATACCACTTCTTTTTCCTGAGCAGATAACTATAAATCCTAAGGCATTCACATCGTTGGTGTGATTGCTAATACGAAAATTTGTCTTCATGATGTATAAATTTAATGTCTACTTACGGTGAATATTTGTTCCATGGAAATGTGGGTAGTGAAAACCAGCAGGGCTCGGAATACACCAGAACAAGATAATTCACAGTTCTGAATTTGTATGTAAAGAATAGGTTTTTCAATATTCACTCAGGCTAGCATAAAGATATTTGGCTGATGGCAAGATAATAGCTAAAGGCAAAAGTGATGAAGAGTCTTCTTGAAGGTCATGCTGGCAGTTAGTGTCAGAGGCAAGAAGGAGATTTTTATCTAATTCTTTCTCTCCTTTTCAGTGCAGGTGTTACAGTCACTATTCATGGGCATCCCCCAAAATTGTAGCAATGTACCCAGCCTATGGAACAAATCATTCTGGTCCCAATGTCAGGAGTGCTTAG